ACACACACACACACACACACACACACACACACACACTGTGAACACTAGCCAACTACAGTGGACAGGTGGGTCTCACCTCAGTCGTGGTATTGAGGGTGGAAGAGGTTACTGGTTATTCACTCCCCCCACCTACAATCCCTGCCGGACCTGAGATTCAAACCTGCGACCTTTGGGTTACAAGTCAGACTCTAACCATTAGGCCACGACTGCCCCCATATCCCTTTACGATTCTGATCTATCTATATGCTCTAATGCATTAGTACTGTAAGAAGGTTATTTTCTGTGGCGACGAAAATATCCTTTCTTAAAGTTGATACGAAATTACACTGAATGTTCGCTGGACGAACAGATTAGTTGATGGCAATTTAATTCTGCTACAGTTACTACTGGCAGCTGATATAAATAATTGTAATAAATCAAAATTAATTGTAATTATTTATATACCTTTCCCTTTGAGCTAATTTGCTACATTCGAGAGCTCTCTGACCCTGCATAGACAGCAACACAACTGCAATGTTCCCAGGAAACGTAGCAAGGAAATCGGTAAAATAGTCCATGTGACATCAGAGGTTCAACTGCAATTTTACAAATCTACGAGAATATTTTTTGTGCGCAAGGAAAACAAAAATAAAGATTTTATTCAGCAATTTTTCTCCTTCTCATCCCATCTGCTGTGGGGCGCCACCATTGTGGAAACAGCATCACGCCGCATGCGCTTGCTAAATGCACATGCATTTTACCCCCAAAAACATGATTTTTATCAAGGGAATCCCCTTCAAATGCCAATGGTCTGGTTTTGGGCTAGTTTTGAGTAGCAATTGGGCGAAACCTGCCTTACATAAAACAATAATATAGTGCTCCAATCCATTCTTGAAATAATCACAAAAAAATGTGTTTAACACTTATGCAAGTGAATCATGCCCACAGCTAAAGTTTAGCTGCTAAACTGTAAACACTTAACAAAACAATAATGGTGATATGTTAGCCGAGTGCTAACGTGACTAACTGATGAAACAATACTGTTTGTAAACCAAAATTTGTCTAAATTCTCTATTATTACACGAAGTAATTAGAACAGTGACAGTCTACATTAGTCGACACATTCTTAGGAAATAGTGCGTTCACAGCGAATTATCAGAGCTATTTCAGAAAGACAGTAATATCGTGGTTTACCTGGCAACCTAAAACTATCAATTTGATGAATTTGAAAATGAATTTTAACCACTGATTCTTCACATCCTCATCTTTCGGCAATGAAAACACAAAAAACGTGCTTTCACAGCGCAGAGCACAGCGTCTTCTCGACATGATGTAAACACACTAACTAGCGGAAGTGTTTGTGGGCAGGACTGTTCATATTTCACGGTCAGGCGGGGATTATGCTAATGTGTTACCCAGTGACGTAGATCGGTAACAGGCTAAAGATTCAAAAATATGATGACTCATTTAGACGGTTCAGAGTCAACTCTTTCTTTTGAGAGACGATATCTTTATTTATCATGCACTTTTTGGATTACAGGTGATTGTTGTCATGCACTCTAAAAATAAAATGTTGGCTCAAAAAAAAAAACTTTTTTGAGTTATGACAACCTTGTAGTGTCTGGACCAATCAAACAATTTTTCATTTGATTTAACAAATCAGTTATTCATTAGATTAACAAATCGTCACCATCCCCTCACCCAATAAACTGGATGCCAGGGGACACCAGGCCCCCCCTGGTTACCATGGCAACCCTGACACCAGATACAATTACGACCTAATGGAATGTATGTAGGGAAAATCACTGCCTTTTTCTTAAGGAAGAGACACAGTGCATAGTAGAAATGGACACTCTTCTAATTAATTCATGGGAAAACCCTTCTTTGAATGAACACACATACCCTTCAGGTCATCGTGTATGTTGTCTTTGAGATTTTATACTGTTTTATGCAGGCTTATGATCGAAACACTCATTCCTGTCATCCTACATATATATAACCCTACCATGTTTAGTATCTATGAATTAGTCTTCTGATGATCTAATTGAGAGTGTATATTGTATGTTTATACCTATGCAACATATTAGTGTTCTAAGAATCTTTATTAGCTTGTGCATCAACACCCCAAGCAAATTACCATGCTTAGAGACAAAGGGTCGTAAAACCCTCCAGCAATTCCCACCTCCCGTTTGGAATTTCCGTCTTTCTCATTGGACAAGCCCATCTTGAGAGGCGAGGATCTTCTCCGACCTTAAAGGCACCACACCAGGGACCCGCCCAGAGTCGGTGGTTTGGTTGAATTCTGAGAAGATGAAGATGTGAGCAAACGCTCCAGGACATCTTAAGTACGTGCCAGGCTTCGGCCTTGACTTTTCCATCCATCAAGATTCTCTGACGCAAACTGGTTCTTTTTCATCAACCAACTTCTGCAAAGATCAACTTGAACCTTGGACTGCATCAAGCCTTCCTTTCAGACAGACGAGACATGCAAGTATTCAAAAGTATTCAAACTTAGTCTTATTAATTGATACATTAGGTATCATTTGCACCTTTTTACAAAGGTGTGTGTGAACTAAGAATCTGAGGTTCCCTTCAGGCTGTAGATCTGCTGAATATGCAAATGGTTCCATATAGAGCTGTAGTCAAGTCCAGCTTTGTCGAGTCCAAGACAAGTCCAAGGCCAGGACTAGTCGAGACCGAGTCCAAAGAGGTTCGAGTCCAAGTCAAGTCCAAGTCCAAAAGTTTCGAGTCCAAGTCAAGACCGAGTCCAAATGAGAGAAAAAAATAACCCTTTCCTATACCAGCTGTATGTGTGTGTGTGTTTATGTGTATGTTAGACCAGTTTAAGTGTTTATGTAGTTAATAAAGCCTTACTTGTATCACACTTGACGTTGTTCATTGTTTACTCATAACTGGAGTCACTTAATCATGCAGATATATGCTACAAGCTCTGTGTAGAGTTGTACAGTAAGAAAATTATTTCCCTTAACCAGGAAATTAACATTCTTAGAATTGACAGGCAGTTGACCCTGAGAGGTCAAGCAAATATCTACAGCAGATCTAAATATTCATAATTAATTATAACTAGTTATGATTAATTATTCATATTTCCCCATGAGCTGATTCGCTACAACCTCTAAACAAAATGTTCAACCAACAAACTACATTGAGTTAGAAGAACTTAATAATTTCCTGCAAGAACATGCTAGGAGTTAGAAATCCACTGCCCAATTTTCTAAGTTAACAAAATAATTTTACTGTTACTTAGTGGTGGGCAATATACCAGTTCAGAATTACACACATGGTATGAATAAAAAAAAATAAAACAGCATACTGTCTTTGTTGTTTCTACACTAATTTGAAGATTGAATGTGAAATTTTTGCAATATAAAAGTATATTTAATATAATTAAACGATTGACAGCACAAATAATTTTTAATTTTTTTTTGCTTCAAAATTTTAAATTATACAAGCTAATTTACATCAAAATCTGTTCGAGCTATGAACAGATTTAGATCTAGCAAGTTTGTTTGGATTGTAATTAAAATGCAGTGGTGCAAACAATAAACCATGAATCCAAAAAATAAATAAATAAAAACCTTGATACAGATTTTTTGTTAAAAATTTTAAAAAACTTAATTTCTCAGTTAAAATCAATTAAAGCACAAATTTGAGTTTACATCACACACAATATTAAGTGAATGTAATGATCAACATTATTATGTCAACAGTAGGGATGATCACAGTCATTGAATATTTACATTTATTCATTTAGCAGATTATTTTATCCAAAGCGATTTACAATTGAGGAATACAATAAGCGGTTCATCATAAAAAGGCAAATAGACACAGGACGTGCTTGCAATACAAAGTTTCAGGAATTGTTCAGAGTAGTACAAGCTAGACCGAGGAGATTAAGGAAGGAGAAAGCAATTTTTTTTTTTTTTATAAGATGAAGTCAAATGGTGACGGAAGAGATTTGCAGCATTACTGCTTGCGCTCGCAGGTTTTCAGACTTGAGTGAAACTCAGACCACTGAACTGCTAAAGAAAATGTTTCCAACATATGCTTTTTGCTGTTTGTGCTGTTGCTGTCTGGTTGGTGAGTTATAGACAAGTTTTATGATGTATATTTGCATGTTATTTTTGTGTGGATCTCTAATAACTTCAGTTACAACATCAATAAATAAAACATTCCACACTGTTTTAGTTTTACTTTTGTAACTCTTTCTAACACTAAACCAAAACGTAACATTTTCGGTATATAAAGGTCTGTAAATACAGAAGATATGGGTGTTTTCCACATGGCCATTTATTTGTCTTGCTGCTGATTCTGTATTTTTATGTAATTATTTCATAACTACTTCAAACATCAGTTAAAGATTTTTAAACCAACCTACATTCTGTATAGCTGAGAAACTGTTTGTGTTTGTTCTGCAGGTGTGTTTGCTGATACAGATGCAGTGAAGTCCGTGCCAGTGACTGAAGGAGATTCTGTCACTCTAAACACTAGACTCACTGAAATACAGAAAGCTGATCAGATTCTGTGGAAGTTTGGAACGAACAGGTCTCTCATAGCTCAAATCAGTCGAGAGGCTGGAATCTCCTCCACATATGATGGTCTTGATGAGAGATTCAGAGACAGACTGCAGCTGGATCATCAGACTGGATCTCTGAACATCACAAACACCAGCACCACAGACTCTGGACTTTATGAAGTGTCCATCAAAAACAGCAGCTCAGCGACTAAAAAGATATTCACTGTTACTGTCTATGGTGAGTAGAGAGTTACAGCTCTATTATATACAGTGTTTCAGTGGTGAAGTGAAAAACCATTAAACAAGATCTTGGAGGGATAGACAATACTTTGTGCATTGTTGCCTCTTGTAGTTTATTTATTTTTCTTCTTCCATGCACTTGGGGTTGCAAAGAGGTGGAAAATTTTTGGAAACTTTTCAAAACTTACTGAAATTCCTGGTGTTTTCCAAGAGTTTCCAAACTTTCTGGAAAGTTTCAGAAATGTTTCGCCTTTTTGCAGCCCTGCTTCCAACTATGTCAGCTCGAACCTTATGGAGGAAGATTGTAACACATTTGTAACTCCACCCACTAGTTTGATAGCCTTTTTTTTTGGATGTTAATGGAATTTTTTTTACAGTTCTCCTTCTTATAAATTATGTCCAGTCTTCTCCAAAACTGGCGTCAAGCTTCAAAAAAACATTTTCATTTTCAAAAAATATTTTTATTCCACACCAAAGTTAAGGTAATCAGGATATATCTTAGCGATCCTTTGGTGTATTGAAACAAAAGTTGTTATATATTGTGTCCATGCCTGTGTGTTCATGGAAAGTTAGACTGTATCCTGTCAACACTATAGCGAGTTTAATTGATGTGGTGTGATCAGTCAGTGTGAGGTGACAATAACACACAACGTTTGGTGTCAGTATGTCAAAGCTTTGCAGAGATAAGCCTCAGAATTTGCCATCAGATTTGTGCAGTAAAATCAAACAGTTTCACCTATTGACACGAAATCCATAACTTTTTGCTGCATGGTCTGAAGATGATCCGAGTTGAATTAATAAAAATCAAGAGCAAGGGTCTAAGAGGAGTTTGAAAAAGTAGGTTTTCAACATGAATAAAAATGGAGGACAAGAAGTTCAGAGATGCAGTATCAAATTTATTTAGTTATTTGTTTGTGTATTTTTGCCAGCATGGTCTAAAAATGATCTGAGCTAAATTTGGTGAAAATCGAACCAGCGGTTTAGGAAGAGTGTGAAAAAGTAGTATTTCAACATACATCAAAATGGCGGACAGGAAGTTTGGCCGATAATGGCGTAATTGATATTAGCATTTTTTTTATTTCATTGTTATTTGTACGAATGCATTGGTGTATCACTATAAAACTTGGTATGTGGACATGCAGACATGCTGCTTTGAATGTAAAGAGACCAGTCTTGTGACTTTTGGCCAAACTGTTCAGAAGTTATAAGCAAAAATAGCCGTTTTCCATATCTCCTGACCACTAGGTGGCACTGTGCAGTTAACCTCAGATCATAGTTGTCATAAAACACAAGACGTTGAGTATGAATAAAGTGTTGTGGAGATATAGCCTCATGTTCATTTAGATGAGCTATTCGACAAATTCTTTTGCAAGTTATTTTATCAACTTGATCGTTTTTAGTTGACATGGTCTGAAGATGATATGGTTCGATTTTCGCAAAAATCAGTAGGAGTTTGAAAGAGTAGGTTTTTCCAAAAATTCTAAATGGTAGAAGAATTATGAAGGAAAATGACGTCATAGGATGCATTTGTCTTGAGCCAAGGAATCAGAGGAAAAATAAATATTCCTTGCTGTCCCGATGGATGGATCATGGATCATTACGTAGTGGGTTTGAATCTCACACGGTGTTAAGATCTGCTTCTATATTAATTTGATTCTTTACATTGTAATTTGTGTAATATAGGACATGTGTGGCCTCATAACTGCTGCTAGAAGATAAATTATATGCTTATTTCATTTAATTCATACATGTTTTTCAGCTCCTTTGCCTGTTCCAGTCATCAGTAGTAACTCTTCACAATGTTCATATTCATCATATTGTTCATTGGTGTGTTCAGTGGTGAATGTGGGTCATGTGACTCTCTCCTGGTACAAAGGAAACAGTTTATTGTCCAGCATCAGTGTGTCTGATCTCAGCATCAGTCTCTCTCTACCTCTGGAGGTGGAATATCAGGATAAAAACAGCTACAGCTGTGTGCTCAACAATCCCATCAGCAACCAGACTCAACATCTGGACATCAGTCAACTCTGTCACACATGTTCAGGTACACGTGATAGTCTTTCTAGATATTCACTGATTGCTCCTTCATGAGAAATTTCATGTCTTCATATTCATCACTTTACTGTCATCTTATCTTGACTTTTCTATCTACTTAGATGCTTTTATTAAAATGAAGGTGTTTTATATTTCCCTCCAATGGTGAAACAGGAAACTTGTTTGTATAGATTAATTCATTTTTAATTTCCATTGCGTGCCACTAATGGTACAGAAATGGCACACTTCACCTTCTCTAATAAATGTCCTTCTCTGGTAAAATATTCATTGTGTGGAAATGTTCTTTTATTTCCTTAGATTGCACATTCTGTTGTTGTTTTCCTGAAGCTGTGACTCGATTGGTCATCTCTGCTGTGGTGGGCGTGGCTGCTGCTTTTATTGTGGTGTATGACATCACATCCAGAGAAGATGAAGAGTAGAGATGACAGAACAGACATCATCATCATCATCATCAGACCCTCGCAGATAAACCATATATTCTCATTGTTAATGTGTCCAACCATTTCCAGAATATTTTTACATTTAAACAACAAGCTGGCTCAGTTATCAGTTGATATCGAATGACCTTATAGATTATAGTTAAGCTCTTATAATGTGTTTTTTTTTTTACAGTCATTTTGTTTATTTTGACTAATCCATAACTGAAAACATTAGTTTTCTCTCACCACTAGGTGGAATATTTTTTTTTTTTCAAAAAATATTTCTCCAGATCAGTAGCTCCACCTACTGGATTAGTCTTTAATCAGTGTAAGGAGACTACAAAGCTGTTTAACTACAGTTAGTAGCAGTGTGGTAGTATTGTTGTTTTTAGTAATGTAGCTTTTCAGTATGCACACTGTTTTGTTAAGTAGTATGGTATTGTTGTGTGGTAAGGTTTTCTTTCTGTCTGTGCTCCTTTCAGCTTTCACTCAGCTGCTGAAATGATCATGATTTCTATTCAAATTAAAATCAATTTTGAAAAGCAAAAAAAAAAAAGCTTGACAGGTGTTTTTGTGTATTTCTGGGTGTTTTGCTATGAAAGATAGCAAAATGGCCAGTGATAGAACTACTTGGGACTTCTATTCTATTGGAAGAAGAGCTTTATAATGGGTACTGTATTCAGTGCCTAATTAGAAAACTTATAAAATTCAGTTCATATGACATTTTAACTAGGTAAATACAGGCATTAATTACTTTTAAGTTGTTACATATTTGGTTTTTGCATTTACAGTCTTGCGCCCCACACCTGCTGTGATCTGCACCTCACACCTACACCTACAGGCCCTGTTAAAAAAAACACAGAGCACACTGTAACACACACAAAAGATGAGAGCAATACCACACAAATAACAAAGCAAGATAACACAAACAATGTTTAATATCATAAAATACACACACACACAAATGGCTGGTCTTCCCCTTTAAAAAAGGAAACCTACATTTGAATTGGGCTATTGTATAAAACACTGGCTGAGTGTGTGTTGGTCGTTCCTGACACAGTCTTACACTTGTCCTGACACAAACAAACGGAGCATTCTGCCATTGTAGACAGGCTACTGGACTGAGCTTTTTGCTATTGTTCAAAAAAAAAAAAACGTGTATTTTTCAGCATAATAGAAATCATAAAGATAAATCACCACTAAGTGATCATCGAGTGTTTTTTTTTTATTCTCATTTCATAGAATAAAATCTGGTTAAGCGGGCGGCTCAGAAAAACTGATTGCTGACGAACCCTAAAAAAAACGGAGGGCTTTTAATAACTTTACGGATCATCTATATTGACTCAACTCTACATCACTATGAATACAGCGCTTACACTCTTTCTCTTCCCGTTATTTGCGATCGGTAAGTGTTTTTAGCATGGCTGCAGCACTTTCGGTTTCGCTTTTCTACGAACCATAAATGTGCACTTATTTTATTATTTATTTTATTCACAGCATTTCTAAATATGATAACTGTGGTAAGTTTAAACAAGGTGTAGGATACCTTTCTGGGACATTACATCTCAAATGATTCACAAATTGTAAAGTTGGTTGCTTGACCATTGTTAATGTACCTGCTTTTTTTTGAGTGAACACCAGGTACAAAACTACTCAGTTTTTTTTTATTTTATAT